TGCTACTTGTGGTACTGGTAGTAGTAGTAGTGCTACTGGTGGTACTGGTAGTGGTACTCGTAGTACTGCTACTACTCGTAGTAGTACTACTTGTGGTACTGGTGCTGCTCGTTGTAGTAGTAGTGGTGGTGGTCGATATCGCTAAAATATAAAACATTTATCGTTTATTCAATTAGATTAGAAAGAACTTATACTAAAAACATTAATATGAGATTAAATAATTCAAGGAACATTTCATTTGATTTTTGTCAACTTTTCAGATACTAGTCGCAAAAAACTAATTATCAACTACAATTTCATAATGTCCTATTATATACAAATAACTTACTGCAATTGTTGGTTTGAAGAGCGAATTGTTGCACTCGACTATTATTTCGATCAGTAACATATATATTTCCATAGCTATCAAAAGCCATACTTTGTGGAAAAGATAACTGAGACGCAGTTGAACCACCTCCCGAACATCCTACTAAACATCGAAAACCAGTAGAACTTGAAGCAACAATACGATGATTATAACTATCGACAATAAATAAATAACCATTAGAATCAAGGACAATTCCAGTTGGATAGTTAAGTATAAAATTTGTTGAAGATCCATTACCAACGATTGTCATTCCATTTAATTGACCATTTTGAACGAATTGAATACGGTTATTAGCACTGTCCGCGATGTATAGGTTTAAATTGCTATCAACATAGATTCCTTGCGGAGAATTAAGCATATTTGATAGTGATCCAGAAGAACCATTACCGGCTGCGATTGTCGGGATGGTTGTACCATTATTAAGTAAAAGTTTAACAACTTGATGAAGATTTTTAAGGGAACAATAAAGATTATTATTAATATCAATAAATAAACCATAACAACTTTCATTAACATTCATAACAGCAACACGATTTGATGTATTAAATATATATTTATCGACTCGACCATATGAATAACCATTATCAATATAAATATCACCCGTCATAGACATAAAAAGACTATATGGATTACTCAAATTACTATAACTATTACTTGTTGATGTAGTACTCCATTGAGGCCATGATAGAATAGTGTTACTAATTCGATTAGGTACATACACAGTATTTATCCCATTAATAAAAATACCATATGGTAAAGTACCAATTGTACTACTTGATGCAAAAGTTGATGCATTAGAATACCATAAAGCATTATAACAAAATGTTGGTTGATTATAAGAAAGACCTAAAAGAAAATAAATAAATGTATACCATCGAAAACATAAATTAAAAAGGAACTTACTACATGAATTTGATGCTAATATAAACTTTTGCACTCTACTATTACCTCTATCAGCAACAAATAGATTTCCATGATTATCAAATCTTAAAGTTTCTGGATAATACAATTGACTTGATGAAGAACCAGCAGTAGCTGTACATCCAAATAAACATCGAAAACCATATGGTCCTGACCCAACTATTCGACTGTTAAAAGTATCCACAATAAAAAGATACTCATTATCATCTAACGTAATACCACTTGGCTGATTAAGTGTAATAGTTCCTGGTGCACTAGCTCCTGCTAAAGTTATTCCAGTTAATTGTCCAACGGGAAACATTTGTATTCTACTGTTATAGGAATCTGCAACATATAAATTAATTTTAACATCGACAAAAATTCCATAAGGGTAATAAAGCGTAGTTG